GGACATTTGATGAATTTACTTCAATTACATACCACTTGAATACAGATAGAGAAAACACAGATAGATGTGACAGTAATTGTCTAGGGTATGGAATTGATAAGTTACTAATTAATTGGAAAACATTCGAAGAAGTTACATAAATTCAAAGAAAAGCAAATGAACGAAATGATAGTTTTAGAGTACATCAAATAACAATTAACTTAGCAAAGATTGCATAGCAACATAAACATACCTTAAAATAAGAATAATTGCAAGTTATTTCAATCAAAATTGTCTATTTACCAAAGTAATGATAAATTGATTACTGTCTCTTTCTGGATATATAAATCTGATTTTAGTTTTTAACTGCTACGGGGTCAAGAAACCGAAGAGAAGCTGAGTTATTTTGTATGAGGATAATCTTGAAAGATTAAGAAACGTCAGTAATATCTCCGTTAACAATTAAATACCAGACTATTGGATGGTTTAGAGCCGTTACATCTTAGTCTCAAATTTCATGGAACTTTCTCAAAAAAATTTAATTTTACTACACATTAAATAGGAAATTCAACAACTACCTATCGCAGATGACAAATCCAAACTGAATATGTACGCTATTCATAAACACTAGCGTATAGAGGTAAACGACTAATGAAGTTGTAGCTTTATGATTAAAGTAACCAACCTTCAACAATTAACACATAGATCCATACCTTGACCTCATCTATTTCGGTTTGAATGCCCAAATAGTTTTACTACTAGCCCTTACACAAAAAACTGTTACTCAGTTTCCATTACATTAGGTCTGTATTAGTTTAGCAGGTTTCGTTCCATTTAAACTATCCCTTACCTAGACTGGTGCCACAGATGAAAATAATAATTTACTAAATGAATAGATTTTATTTTTAAGTCAAAGATGATTGAAAATTAAGTGTTACATTGAGAGATATTCAATTAACATCATATTTGGTACTAGGAAATCATGGATCAGACGATCTAATTAAAAAGACGAAGATCAATAAGAAGTTATTGGATTCTCAAAGTCAATCAAAATGATCTATGAATACATTACTTTTACTTAACTTTTTCGCAGTCAGATTTATTTAAATTGAATTGAGTAGTATTTAACATCAGTTAATCATGCAATTAAGCGTTTATAACCAATAGATATAACTAATAGACTAAATTACATAACAACACCTCCTTAGAATATATTACATGTCACAAATGATTTGTAAGGATATAAAAACAATTTTCTGTAATTTAATAGTTGAATTCAATGAGACTATTAAAGCTAGACCACTATGGAAAACCTGGAAGTACTGGACAACTATTTCGTCCTAGTATGGTGTGGTGGTCGATATTCTGTACTATCCCTAAGCTTCGTACATTGTTCGTCTTGATAACCGTTACTCGACAACGTCCTAACGATGTATAAATCAGAAGACAAATACGAAGGGTTTATTACTGAACCACACACAGTTATCCAATATTACAGGTACGTCAAGGTAGCATCAAAAAGCAGTGCCGTAGAGCCGAATGAATGAGTAAGCGTGTACAGTACGGTGTAGCGTAATGCAGAGCAGAGAGCAAGCAGGGCAAGGTAGTAAACACGATTAAAATGTATATATATAAGTGGAAAAGCATGAATCATCGGATCAAATAAGCGATTAATAATAATGCTATTGGAATGAATACATGCGTAGGCGGAAAGCAATGTTCAAGCGTATATAATAAAAGTACAGTGGTATAGATAGGTTGTTATTGTATGAATGACTGTCCATTAAATAAGTTAACAAAAGGGCTTAGCTGAATTAGATGTAAACAAACTCAATTGTTTCTGAGTTGCTATATAATCACCAGAATAAAGAGTAAGGAGGAGAGTAAACAGCCTTGTCTATAACCGTCCACACTTGAAATGCGTTTCCAGCTGTCCTCCATACACAACTCTGGAGTGCATTCGGTCGTATAAATTCCATATGATGGTGACTATCCTTTCAGGTACGACATATTTTCGAAGAAGGTTCCATAAAGTTCTCATATCCACGCTACCAAACGCTTTCTCATGATCAATGATGTCGACAGATAATGATTATCTCCATTCAGTAGATTGTTCAACGATGATCCGTAGTGTCATGATTTGGTTTGTGCACGACCAATACTTCTAGAATCCGACTTGTTGACCTAAAACTTGGACGTTTACTGAGTCTTTCATCCTGTTCAGCAACAGTTTTGAAAACCTTTCCTAGTACTGATAGTAGTATGTTGCCTCTATAGTTTTCACACTTGCACAGATCTCCTTTCTTTGGTATCTTGATGAAGTATCCTTCTTTCCAGTCTGTCAGCACTTGTCCTTCCTTTCATATCCTTCCAAATAGAACGCAAAGTATGTTTGCTGTTACTTCATTGCTTTCGCTGTTATATTGTCAGGTCCTGCTTCTCTCCTACTCCTGATTTTCTGATGGCCAAGCTGATTTCTTCGATCGTTGATGGAGTGACATCTATAGGAATGTCTGTGTGTGCTACCTCGATCTAAATCTTCTCAGCTCGATCTATGAAAATATTGTAGATATAAATTAATGATGGACTTCATGTCTATTTGCAACTGCATCCTTACAGGATTAAGTATATTTCTTTGAATTTCTTGAAGTTTTGCCGTCACTAATTAGGCAGGTTTCTACCCTTTTATTTGCTATACTCAACTAAAATACTGGGTGTTTTAAACAAATAATACGTAAACATAACGAATGATTTGTATTTTAACAGCTATAATCTCATTCAATATTTAGTTTTGTATTGTTATAAAAAAATTATCTAAGCAGAAGTGGTTTGCTACATACTCACTTTACATTCGTTGATTGTTGATAACACTTTTAAAGTCTTTAACATTATGAAATACTGGTGTTTACATACATCCCCTTTCATTCTACCTTGTTTCAATTTAGTCCCCAGTTAAACTTGTATTTGATAAGTACTTATAAAGTTTGCATTTAATTTAAACACTTGATCGTTTGAATTGAAAACAAATTAATTAAGTGATGATGATTGATGACGATGAGAAGTTTCCCAATAAACTAAAACGATAAGACTATAGCATTATTTTAGCCTACAGCTATCCTTTGACCTTGGGTAAGCAATATGAACAGAAATGTTTGTGTGTATACGATTGTTGTGAAAAAAACTGATGGTATGTTGCTCTGTAAAATGAAACATAATATTATTGATGAACGTATATTTATTATAACCCAGTATCATAAAAAATAGGTCACCATTATTTCAGCTGATAACACATGGTGAACAGAAAAATTCTTAAGTAACTGATCATGATATATTGACTGGTTTTAGTTGAATTTAGATCTTGATTATATCACATACAGTCAAAACAGTCCCAAAGGTTAGAGGAAGTCGACACGAAACTCTGATTGATCTGGGTTTTGTCATAGTTACCACTCATTAACCAGCCGTATCTACAGCGCTGAAGAAACTGATGCATTCTCTGGAATTCTGAGGCATTGCCAGTGATCTTTTAGCTCCGCGGCTTTTAAGTTGTTTACAGTTGATTGACTGATCAAATTCTGTAAACGAGATGGAGTTCAAAACGTCTTATCTTTAAAGAGTATTATTCCATTTATTGTGATGATCCCCTTAGATTAACGATACCTTAAACAAGAAAATTCTTCTACAATGTAATGTAATATAGCCATAAAATTACACCAAAGAAGTGAAGTTTTTTCAACACAATGCATCACTTCCACTTCACTACTCAAACCTGTGCACGTGCATTTTTTCACTAAACATTTTAGGCTACTTATGAGTAGTGTACTTTTTAAAGCAGTATTTAGTGAAATTTAAGGAATCCTTTCAGTCTGGTATGTAGACTTCTTGTGATGAACCTAAATATGACTTCACCTTTTGATTAGGGAGATCTAAACCAAATCGGATGGCTATCGCTGGTTAATATCTCCACGGATGATGTTATCTACTGAGTTGTACCATGTGAATCAATTAGTATACATCTGACAACTATGATTATTTCGGTACTATGTATCGTAGATTGTTCTGAAATCTTAATTTTTTTCTTAAAGTCAACATTTAAAAAAGTCTGTACAAATTACAACTTATCATTTTTAACAACTTATTTGTTTATTATAATGATATAAATGGAATAATTTTATAAAATTACCCAATTTTTCAATTTTTTCGAGTCACTACTTCAACAGTTGCTTGGGGTCTTGTTCTCATTTGACGTAGACGTGGTTAATTTTGAAGCAGTTTGATAACAGTTAACATTTTCTTAGTGTAATACAGTTTAGAAAATGTTAACTGTGTACAGAAACATAATATCATATCTTGTATACTGTGTCGACTGGAAGTTGAAAAATAATCATATTGCTAGACAGAGATTTTTCCCATATAAGTACACTAAAAGGTAAATACATTTTTGCAATAATCGTTTTGTCTTTAGAGATAGCCAAGAAAATTTATTGTCAAGTGGATAACTTAATGGGAACTGCGTTCTCTAAGTTGAATGGTATAGTCGTGAAGCTTTTTTATATACTTAAATAACATTATCAGTACAAACTTCTTGTAGAGGGGAGTCATGAGACTTTCTTTACAAGTGATTAGCAGCATGTTCTGTCGATTTTGAATATGACTGGTTGTTATTCACATTTGTCTTATTAGGACTGATCGGGATGCAGTTCGATAATATGTACTCCCTTCATTAAGGTTTACAATTTCCTAATTCAACGCCTTATTTTACTTATGTACTGTCTTTTCAAGGTGAACTTAAGATTATATACATAGATTAGTTGTACAATGAAATCGCCTTCGTTGAGGCAGAAAATCTTTTTACAACAAGGACAAACCATTCCATCATTTAATACACAGGCATGTGTCCAAATCTATTCAAATTTTTCTTCTCAGATACTCTTCAGTCGCAAATGAGTTTCACTGTTCGTAGAGTTAATCATCAATATGTACCCCACTTAATTCATGAACATATTATAAGATGAACAATATGCAAGTGTAATCATAAAATATATTTAAATATTAAATACATGTAAATTAGATGTAATCATTCTTTAACATTGTATAAGTTCTTGAAAAAATAAACCATTACGATTAATGATCTGTTAGTTAAAAATCAATCATTTTCTAGCACTCTTCTTTTTACCTGTTCCTGCGGATCTCGCCTTCTTTGATTGTGGTCGTGGATAAGCATCGACCAATTTTTTAACGAAGTCTTTGATACAATATGTAAAACAGAAGAACTTATATATATATATATATATATATATATATATATATATATATATATATATATATATATATTAGATTAACGTAGAAAATGTTCACTTCATCGATTTAAACAAAATGAAAATATTATTCAGTGTCTTGTACGTACATTAATTTTTGTCACGATATTATTTTTTCAGATTTATGTGGCAAGAGGTTTTACGTAATAGACATTTTATTTCGAATTGCCCTCCATGAGGGATAACAGACGTAAGTAAACTGTCCGAGCACTTAAAGTGATCGTTCAGTGTAAACAATGTACATCATAGTAAAAATACTAATAATAGTTTAAAGATTACAGTCATATAATTACCATTTGAATTGATATATTATTAAATTTTTTCGCAAAAACCTGATGAATCGGAATGGTAATTTTATTGAGTCAGCTGATTTATTAATCAGAGATGGAACAATACTATTGACAACAATGTTTGCTTGTTTTGTTAGAGCCTATGATAAATGATTAGACTCCAGCTTTCTATATTCGCAAGCATATGGCCATCACAAGGCATAAAAGTGTTAAGTTCGATTCCTGCAGAGGTCATAAATCCGTACATCAGATAAGTTCAATACCAGCACGAAATAGTTGTCCAAAAATTTCTAGTTTTCTGTGTTTCTTTAAGTACAGTCAGTCTTCGGTTTAAACAACGGGGTCTATTTTCTAATTAAGTATTATGGTCATCAGATTATGCTTTCTACCTTATTCAACACTAATTTTCCTAGAAAATTCATATTGATTACAATTATGTTGTGCAAATTCAATGTATAAGCAAATCCTAAACGTTTTTTCAATAAATACCAACAGTTTTACGATCTCTTCCTTTCACTACCTCAATATCCAATTCTTCCAAGTTACATACCATCATAAGGCCATTTGCCATCTGTTCCAGGCGCAGCTTCTTTAAAAAATTCATTGCACTCCTTATCTGTAAAACAGTCACCGACAGTTAACAGCATTGTTTTCATTGGTTCTGTATCCACGACACCAGATTCATTTTTATCAAAGAACTAGTAAAATATTGGTAAGAAAAATCAAAATAAGGTATTGTAAATGAAAATGTTACGTATCCAAGTGGAGTAAGCTAAATAAAATCACATTTTACTGAATATACTACTTACCATCATTAAGTATTATTCCTGGATTGTTATTTTTAAAAGTCTCTTTCAACGTTAATGTTAATCTTAAAAAATGTTAGCTAGAAAATGCCCTAAGTCTATTTAATCTCGGTTAGGGGTTTTTCAAAAATGCAATTATATAAAGTTCACTTGGAATAAAAGTGATAACATTTTGGTGGCAGTAGCGAACAGGATGGACTCGGAATTAGTAATTTTATCAGAGTAAAATAAAAGTTAGACACTAAATAGCTAACTCATATTAGTTAAGTGCTATTTATTGATGCACATCCAGTAAAAAACGTACCATCAAAATTTCAAAATTTCTCAGTGAACAAATCAATCTTAGTCCACGTATATCATTATGGTTACTTTATGTTATCACTGAGTACTTGTTCTCACTTCTCATCATTTGAATGATCTCCTAAGTCATAGTCTTTGTTGAAGACTTAGTATAGTCATCTACACAATAATTATTGATTGAAATATTTAGCGAAGAAAAATAACTATCAAATAGTGTTACTCTTTGCCTACGTCATAGAATATAATATCCACTTCCGCAGCATTCACCCCATGATCACTGTAGACACAAGAATGTCTACAGTAATCCACCTTTAGGCCAATCAGCATAGAGTCTTTTTTTCGAAAGAATTGATGCAACCTGGAACAATATCATGGCTTTAGGAAGCTTATTGATTTTTCAAGGCTTATTATCAGTTCTCCAATCTTAATATTGTAGAAATATCACTATATAACTTCATTAATCTAAAAATGAGCAAATTTATTCACAATAAAGCTTTCTTACTGAATCTTCTTTAGATTACTATTGTGGTGTGGTCTACTTACATCCATATAAGTAGTAATATGGTGTTGGTCAGACATAGAATGTATTTTGGAAGAAGACCGACGAGGGAAGAACTGAAATGAAGCGCAATCGGTAGGAAAATGCACGAACAATGGAATTAGAGAAGAAACAGTGAAGATCGAGACTATTGGATGTTAATTTGCAAATTAACTGTCCATTGTATGGTTTTCAGAATTTATTGAGATAGTCCGTAATGTTTGCTTCCATTCGATTGTCCCAAATCAGTGTCCTGTTAACTACACTATCATTAAAATTCATCGTCACCTTCAAAATCTTCACTAATAAATTCACTGAAGAATTGTAAGGATGAACTCACAAAAGAACTGTAGTTATGAGAAATCATACGTAAAAATCGCTATCTATTTTAGCATTCTTTTTAAATCAGTTTGTTATTATTTATTGAATCGCTAACAAAATGATTTCATTATCAGTCTGCTACAAACGATGCAAATTGAAATTAAACTGATAAACTGGCAGCCTGCTCGAATATCTGGACTACCTATTCCTACTATCTAAATATTACAACAAATTATCTGTTTTTTTTGTTTGTTTTAACCCATCATTATGTCTATTGATCACACAACCTATTCAAATGTGTTCATGAAACTTTTACGACATTCCGCAGTACAACTTATAAAAAAAGTACAATCAGAGACATTGTGATGAATATCAATATGCATTGAAACGAATGAACATTATTGAGATGTCGAATGTCGGACTGTTAACATCTAACTAGTGATTACTCAATATTTATCACCGATATCGATCAAGAAATAAGAAAATGAAATTTGTTGAAATACTTTGTTCTGAGAATTCTATATTGTACTAAAAATATAATATTGAATAAATTCATTGATAATAATAATAATTAATATATAGTAGTGGGCAAATGTCAAGTCTAACATTATCATATTTACTTTATAGTGACAAAAAGAATTCTTATTAGTATTTTTAAACATTCTGAATACCCAAATAAAAATATTTCCATTGTGTATTCAATGTGTTAAAGTAGTAAAAACGTTTATTTTAAAATTTCGTGAAAAAGTTCAAAAGTAGTTTCTTTAATTTTGATTGGCTCATTCCGAAAAAGTTACTTTCACGGATCCTGCATTTTCAACTAACCATTCAGAATATTAGAAAATATAATTGAGTTATCCCAAGCATATTTTAAAGTTCAAACTTATATGTCAAATAATTCTATATGATGGAAGGTTAATTAACAGATTTATAGTCTATTAACGGGTAATTCATAACAATTATTGAGTAAAAAGGAGTTATACAACTATGATAATACACAAAAAACAACTATACGATAAGTCTATATTAAGAATATACACAAAACTTTTCAAATTTCCCTTTTTTTTCCTTTTTTTTCCCCACCTCTTCCTATTAAACATTACTTCTATTCATATTCATTATCATTAACTGACGTTGGATAGTAATTATCACATGTAGTCAGAAAATGGTCCAATTTATCTAGAGACTTATCATAAGGAAATCTGTTTGTTTATTTTTTTTCCATGATTTATGATAATAACTCACCAGAAAAGCATTATTCAATTGACTCAATCTTTCCTCTCTTGTATAGGAATACGTTTGAATTATTTCAGTGAATTGATCCAAATCTAGAGTAATACTCTCTATAAATAAAAAATGAAGTATGAACATTACAAATGCTGTGATGAAAATCCACTTACTATTTAAGTTGAAAAAAGGTGATCATTAATTATATCGAAGTGTGAGAAATCTAAGTTCGAAAAACAGTGATCTGTTTCAGGAGCTATCCTTGGTGAGACTATAATTTATGGATGACATTTGAGCAACGCCAAAATAACCTCGACATGTCCACCTACTTACCAGGTTGAGATGAGGGCTGTAGACAAGTTTAAAGAACTAGGATTAAGATTTACAATTGAACGTTGGGGTTAGGAATTAGATTTTATGTTTTCATCACGAAATGAAATCAGTCATAATGCTAAAATAATATTTAACAAAATAAGTGAATGGATTTCGTGCCAAAATTCAAGACCTGCTATCTTAAACATGCTTGATTCGTCCATAAATTATAGGCTCTATGTCTAATTTTAACAGCAGTTAATCAACATTCAAGATGAGAACTAAGGGTATATTGAAGCTGTAGCTATCAGATAAAGATTCAAGGAATTTTAAAAAATTGAGAATAACTGTTACATGGGCTAAGGGAAAGTAATTATAAAGATAAATGTAATAAATTTTATTAGTTTACGTAAATACTTTACTCTATGACCCATATAAACATGAGTTGCATGATAAATTCAAAAATAATTATGAATAGAACTGTTTACTGAATATTAACAAGTAATATAAAGCAATACATAAAAAACGATTTGAACGGGAATGAACAGAGTATGTAAACGATCCTAACACTGATGCTAAACTCTGTTCGTGATTCAAATAAGTTCAATGAGGGGAGAGTTAAGATTTAATTAAGTTAATACTAATGTGTTGGTTGGTCGTAGTCAGTTTGAAACAGGCTTGGATCAAAGTTTCGTGCTAGCTGCCACTGGTCACTAACGTGTATCTGTAGTTCTTAGGGTACTGATGCCTCAGGTAGAATTAGAGTCTGAATTGTCCATTCTTACAGCTTGAGACGTTATAAGTGAGCTACTTGGGTTGAGACTGAGTTTACATCGGCAATAAAGAGTAGATAAATATGATATTAATTGCTACTCATCAAACACTATAAATATAACAATTCTACAGGTGAGCGCGGAACCAATAGCCCCATGGAAACGTCTTAGACTGTGAAACTGAGGAATCTGAACACGAATCCCACTGAAAAATGAATATGTATCTTGTTGACGAGTACTAGGAAGAATAAAAAGTAAGGTCGTGTCGATTCCCATCAATCACATAACACTGATCAACATTTATGATCACCCTTTGATGCTAAATTTCGAAATGATGAATCATCTTTTTAATCCAGGTATATGCTGTTGGTGATATAGTAAGTACATTAATTACAAAGTTCTTGTTGTTACTGTTAACAACATTATTCAAGCTGATTCCAATTATAAGTTGAATTTTTCATAGTGTTCAAAAATGTCAAATCAGTTCACCTTGAGATGTTTGTTATTCATTGTCATTAGCGGCATTGCTTTTATGTACATAGACATTGAGTTGAGTTCATCTCCGCAAAATTAATTGGATAACTACTAAATCATTTAGTTAAGAAATTGAGTCTATGTTGGCATACTTTTCGATAGCTTTGTATGATATGAGTGTTATCTTTATAGCGGTCAGTAAAACTGTAGTTTAAAAACTACCCATCAAACGTGTTCCAGTTTTCTTAATCATTTAATACCCTGAGTAAGCCCTGATAGATTATATGCTGTTGCTAGACCATACCGTATTTGAGAGAGCCAATTTTGAGCTGGCTTAATTTGAATGAACAGTTTATTCGCCTGACCAAGTCTACCACTCCATATCTTGGTCGGGATTAATTCAGTAACTCATATACATATTCATTCTAATTTCAGTAATCAAGCTTCCTGAATCCTCTTAGTTTCTTTCTCTGGTTAAGTAAGTGATTGGGAAGTGTATACAGGTAAAAAAAAATCGAACGGGGGAATATAAAATTATTCTACAGAAATGATGTCTATTTGTATTCAATAAAACTGTCTTCGACTAAGTTGGTAACCTTGAGAACCTTATGATTTTGATGTTCACTTAAATACGTATCCAGAATTCAACTGTTATGTAACGTTTTATACATAATAGACAAACAGTTTGTTATAAACTACAGTTTCGTGTTTCGGTCACTGAATTTTTGTCATATTGAATATTTATTTCGGTTGGTCTTTAACCATTCAACTAAAAATGAATTAATCAACTTCTCATTTTTATGTTTAATCTTACTTAACCATGTGAAATAGATCTTCCATAACACGATTTTCCTTTTAGATGTATTAAATCAAACCATGCAATTCACACATCACCAATGTCATACAAGTAAGTTAGCTATAATTGCAACCGAGTCATCATAAATAAGTGGACCACTTGTTCAACCAAGGTCCACCGATCACGTGCTCCTGTTTAAGTTAATCTGTGTGATTTTGAACTGTGTTTGATAATCCAGCTTTATAATTAGTGTGCACTTTCTCCCTCCGTCTACTTTAGACTTTACAAACATTAGATGAGTCAGACCATAGACTATAAAGACTTTCTTGAATAAAATCTACAGTTGAGGGTTTATTATTATGTAGTGTCAATTTGATTGAACTTATCTGTTATGACATGTTTGGCATGTGGTATAGAATTGTGGTGACTTTTTACAGATATGTCAAAAGATATTTTCAGTATAAGGTTTTCTTCACTGTGCATCACATTGTGGAATTACATACCTGGACATAACAACTGTCCACTGCTATCTGGTCTTCATGTGTTTCACATTCAATATTAATCCGCGACATGAGACAGCTGATGACTATCAATAAATAATAATAATAGTAATAATAATAATATTGTTATTTAAAACCGTTTTCAAGAAACATTTTGTGTGCAATCTCATGTAATTTAGAAAAGGTTATTGTTGATGCTCAAGACTAATTTCTGATTAGTCTTAATTAAACATATGTGCGTCCAGTACGGTTGGTTTTTGATAATTATTGTGTTACAAGTTTTTATAAAATAAATGAAATGTGATCATTTACGAAATCTAGGATGTGCATTCCGTCCTATTTTGAATACCAGGACTCGAATTCCGTACTTTTATCATCAGAAAAATTTATTAATTCATACTTTTCCTTTATTATACTTAATTAGAAAAGCTTACCTGGTCCAATCCCTTCCATATCTTCAGGTGTATAATCAGAATAGATTTTATCCAAAGTAGCTGAAGTCGGACACTGATTAAGCATTTGTAAACAACGACATATTTGATTTAAAGTGACTTTTCGACTTTTTGCCGAAGAAAGTGAATCATAAATACCTATAATTACATAAAAAAGAAAATAAGATCAATAGTGAATGGATGAGATCTATGTCAATGAATTCTATGTGTTGGTGATCTATATTAAAATTAACCGATTCTGACTAGATATTGAAACTAAAGAAACATTAAACATGATTGAATAATTGGTTCTCTTTTGTCTCAGTTAGAGTAGCTTCCTCAACGGTATACATCTACAAATTTGCAAAAAAGCTCTGTGAAAATTTCAATAGTTATCAAGCTGAAATTAATCTGTGACGTAACGTATCATCGAAGAGAATTAGTTTGAAGGAAGCCCTTTCCAATAATATACATATATATATCAAACAATGAATTGCCTTGAGAATTTTCTTAAGAAACATTTGTACATTTTGATAGGACTATTAATTGTTATTTGGTGTTAGTTGGAGAAAGATCAAACATCCCGGGAGCATTGAATAATTCTGTTTTATACTATTTTGAGAAATATGTTTCACTACACTGTGTTCACATATATGATCAGACATAAACACTCAGATTTCGTGGCGAGTACTGTAAGGATGTATTCTTATTCTTTCCCCGTAACAATAAATCCGCCTACTCTATTACTTCATATTTGTTACAAGATTACTAAGGAAAGGAAATCTTTACATTTTCAAACATCCAACTAGCACATTAGAAAGTAAAATGAGTGATCACAAATACATTTTAATATTCAAACTCATAAATCATGTGATTATATGCATATAACACAAGGTCATAATACAGCACTATTTGTATATCGTGACAGATGCGCATAACTAGACCATCTCTGATACGAAGATGATCAACTGTTTTTGGTTGGCTTATAATTTATGAATGGCAGAAGATAACATCAGCAATTATTGAGTGGGAACAAAGTTTGCAACTAGACCTACATATGATAATATTATTAAACAACTGTTTGAAAAATATACAAACTAATTCACCAAACCATAGCTGCCTAATTCTGATAATGTCTCTACCAATAACCCTCACAAGTACCATTCATCTGGTGATTTGGAATTTAAATAAAGGTATTCAAGATTAAGGAACTAGATTCTTCATCACCACTCAGATTTTTATTATTAGTAGTAGTAGTGGTCGAAGTAGTAGTATTGTTATTATTATTTAATGATGCACCAAAAGCTGTTGTTTATAATCTAACCAAATCTTAGTTATTTCACATAGTTTATAGCAAAATAACATTAACTGACAAAGCATCCCTGATTTGGAACTAAAGATCAATACTGACTCACATCTCCTTAAGCAATCAAACTAAGAACATTTCAAACCAACCGTGAGCATAATACTTTGGGACCATTTATTCAGAATTCAAGGTTTTAAATTTTCAATTGCAACGAATTCACAAAATACAATAATAATCAATCAACATTGCTTATAGTGACGGTTTCACTCTAAACATTATTGAACGCCAACAGTAACGAAATTCTGATTAAAACTTTGAGAGCACATTACGAAGCACAATAATAAGTAGACCTGAACTAATGTGAAACCATTGAGCAGACTCCTCCTTGTTTCTTCAGTGTTTCTCAAGATCTCAATTCTCGATTCAGACACATTTTCTGGTGAGAATTTATTTTGTCTCCTAATTCAGTTAAATGTTTATTTCAAAAAACAGATTTGACTGATTAAGTAATTTGACATATTTACAGTAAATTGCAATGTAGTATGTACCTACTGAAATGAGATTCATGTGTGTGAAATTTTAGGTTGGGATAATTAGAACATCTTTTAGAAGGGATTGATATTCGTCACTTATTGATCTCAGGGATCATTAGAAACCTGTTTTTCTGCAGAATAGGACTCCTTAGCTGTCAGTGGAATCCCACTACTCTAACAGCGATAAAGCTCATAGCCCTCTAATTCTGATGAGAAAATTACAAAACTATACCAACGAAACTATACTCAACCATTAACTAAACAATACCACATTCTAAAAATGTTTTCGAACAGAAGTGTTTTACTGTTCATCTCTAAATGGGTTTTCATTAGTCACATACTTTTAATGACACTTTCTTTTAAAATTTGGCTATCTTGTCTGCTAACTGGTTGTGCTGTTTCATCTTTCGTCTCTTTTTCATCTGAAGGATTCATCTGAAAATTTAAAGAGTAAGCGGAAAATTCGATAACACAAATATCTTTTGGGAATTATTCAATTTAACCATAACTCATATTATGAAATGGCTTAAGGTAAACAATCACTGGAAGCCACGGACCACTGGGCAAAGACTTCGTGTTAATATGATACATTACAATGTTTAGACTAAAATAAGTCATTTTTGTTTGCGATATGAACTGTTGAATATCAATTCACCAAAAGGTATAGAGGTTCCAATTTCTATCCCCTGATAGATTATGAGTCGCTATGGATTCTCCTATTGGTGAATTCAAGAGCACTCATGACCGAGGAGTTCCATGCTAGGATGATTTACAATAGCGTCTCAACTAAGATCAATCTCTGACAAATATCATTCATAAATATCATTATTTAGATTTCGATTCAATCTATAATAATGCAATATTCTATTTAAGTATTATAGATATCAACTTTTGACTATTTTCGAATTTTCCAAATTTAAATCAGATAATTCTTCCTTTCTAATTCCTCAATCAATTAGATGATTTGGACTTCGCAGATGACCTAGACCTCCTCTATCATACACACGACCAGATGCAGATGAAGACAGCAAATGTAGCAGCAGCCTCCGCATCGATAGGCCTCCACATTCACAAAGGAGAAAGCAAGATTCTCAAATGCAACACGGAGAACACCAAGCCAATCACACTTGATGGCGAAACTCTGGAAGAGGTGGAAACATTCAAGTACCTGGGGAGCATCGTTGATAAACAAGGAGGATCGGATGCAGATGTAAAGGCAAGGATTGGCAAAGCAAGGGCAGCATTTCTACAATTGCAGAACATATGGAACTCAAAACAACTCTCAACCAATTTCAAGGTCAGAATCTTTAATACGAACGTCAAGACAGTCAGTTATACTGTATGGAGCTGAAACGTGGAGAACTACTACGGCCATCATCAGGAAGGTACAAGTATTTATAAACAGTTGTCTACGCAAAATACTCCACATCCATTGGCCGGATACTATCAGCAACAGCATTTTATGGGAGAGGACAAACCAGCTTCCAGCTGAAGAGGAAATAAGGAAAAGACGTTGGAAGTGGATCGGACATACATTAAGGAAATCACCAATGTGCATCACGACTCAATCCCTAACTTGGAATCCGGAAGGGAAGCGGAAAAGAGGAAGGCCAAAGAACACACTACGCCGGGAAATAGAAGCCGATATGAAAAGGATGAATAGCAACTGGAAAGAACTGGAAAGGAAGGCTCAGGACAGAGTTGGATGGAGAATGCTGTTGAGCGGCCTATGCTCCTCAACGAGGGGTAACAGGCGTAAGTAAGTAAGTAAGTAATTCCTCAACCTTTATTCTACACTCATATAACTAACTTCTTGTTTATATATATATATATATATATATATATATATATATATATATGGATAATGTTGTCGTTGAACAATAAACTCTAGTATTCAATAAATTGTTCAATGTCTAATTATGTGAATTAACTACTTTTTCAATATCAGAAGTTGTTTATTGTGGAAGTTTAGTATTTGCATAGTTGAAAGCATCAGTCGATTCAAGCTAGAGAACTAAGGAAAACCTGGAGGCTCTGGATGGCCGTTTCGCCCTATTGTGGGACTCCTCAGCAGTGCGCATCCACGGCCTCGCTTCACGAGATTCGAACCTAGGACCTACCAGTCTCGCGCCAGAGCCCTTAACCGATAGACCACTGGACCGTCGTCTGATGGTGTTATTGTCTAACTTCAACCAAGACAATTGATGAACGGTTGCTCAACTTCGTGGATTGGTTGAGGTTAGACATCAACAACGCCGGCCGCCGGCTCAGTGGTCTATCGGTTAAGTGCTCTGGCGCGAGACTGGTAGATCTGGGGTTCAAATCTCGTGAAGCGGGGTCGTGGACGCGCACTGCTGAGGAGTCCCACAATATGGTGAAACGGCCGTCCAGTGCTTCCAGGTTTTCCTTAGTTGTCTAGCTTCAATTGACTCATACTTTCTTTAAACAACTCAGGCAATATTGAATGAGTTTTTCATACATTACTTTACTCAAATACACTTAAACAATCATAAAAATCTTCAGTGAAAACAAAATCAATTAACTGTTTACCTACCGATTAAAAGTACTAAATAAATTGTCTTGTGCCCCCTATCAATAAATAGTTTAAACAAATATAAATGATATTCTTACTTCCAATTGAAATAGTTGCCAAAATTATTCCCATTTGGCATCATTAAATGATATAAGCATATTAAACGACAAATTAACAACTCATTCTAAAAATGCCTATATAGTTAAATTTAAATCTTTTCTCTTCTATTCATGACCTAGTTCTTTTTAATAATGATTGGTTAGTTAGTACAATACTGAACAGTAGAGATATTTTCTTCACTCTAAGACTATTTGAGAATTTTTATCTAACTACAAAAATGAGATGAATCCAGTCACGAATAGATAAAATGATATGTGCTAAAAATAAGTACAAATGTTGAATAGTTCACTTATCCCGTTGTCAAGGTATTCAGATATTCAACTACAATTTACTCAAACACACACATGTGTACATACACAATGCAAAAAGTCAGTTACTATAGTTACATATAAAAAAAAAGAAATTTCTTTATAAGAAAACATATTTGTACTTACCTGTATTGCTTAAATCATGAAAATTGTTGTTCAGATTGTTGTTTTTTTTAATTTGAAATTATGAAAAGCTAATCCTTCAATAGTGAAATTACTTCTCCCATTCACTGATTTCTATTTTATTTGAATAAAGTACCTTCTTATGTATGATAAAAAATATGATTTACTTTCAATTGGTTAATGATAAACAGCCAATGATTAAAAAGAGTCTGATTTATTTTATTACAGGCTTAAGTACTTTTTTTTTATAAAAAAAATGACTATTACATAATAAAGTACTAATCTGTTATTTATTGTAACAAAAGTACAAAACGTAATCATCAAATAATAAGTATGCATATTAAATACAGATTGAATATGTCAAGTGTTTCCTTGATATCAGTAATTCCTTTAAGTGAAAATTAGCCTATAATATAGAAATGATTGTTTTTTCAATTGTAATCGATAAATGTTATGACTGACCAGTGTCTTCAATAGGAAATACTGAGATTTATGTAACCCATAGGAGAAAGTAAAAGCAGTAGAAGAAAGTTTACTTTGCATCCGAAATTAATTAAAACTATGTAAATACACATTGAGTTATATATATATATATCATATCTCAAAGGTGGCCTGATTGAACATCTGGGCTACCTGTTCCTGCTATCTAGATTTCAACAATTTATCTAATTTTATTTGTTTCAATAGATCATTATGGTTATTAATCGCATAACCTATTCAGGTGCGTTTCTAAAAAGTGTACAGCCTTTCGCTGTGCAAGTTACAAAAGGCCCAATCAGAGATATCGTGGCTGCTGGCAATATGCAGCGAAAAGAATGTACACTATTTAGATGTCGATTGACTGGACTGCTAACTTCTAATTGACGAATACTCAATATTTGTTATCAGGATCGATCAAGAAGTAAAACGCGGAAACTTGTTGAAATAGTTTGTGCTGAGAATTCTATATTGTACCAAAAACATAATATTGAATAAAGCTAACGGTAATAATAATCATAGCTTGCTTGATCATCAGATAAATTTGGTGTTGTTTTACAGACAGGGGACCTTAAAGCTTCTCTATTGAACAATGTATCAAAACATTGGTTCATAGGTATGAGCATACTTTGATAAGGAAGCCATTAGATGTTGGAAAGTGATTATTGGATTCTTATGTGCAATTCAAAATACGATGATAAACAAATTACATCTTATCAAAATCTAAGTGACACATACCGACATCTCGTTAGAAAGATGCTTAAAATTGATAGACATGTTACTATAAATTATGATTGTTTGAAATTAGCATAAAGTCACTTGATTTTTAAAATCAAAGAACTATCTCCCTACGTACTTTCCAATATGATCGTAAGCATTTTCTAAACCCTAACTCTTCATCCGAATTCCTGATTCTAACCCTAAGCTTTTTCGTATATTGACTTATTCCCTTATGTCACTTGAATTCTGATTGACTGACGACTAACTATACTTCCAAAAGTTCATTTTGGAATTCCTCAAAGATCGTCAGTAATCTAAATTTCCATCTGTTGATAGTGTCGAACACACAAAGTACAACAAAATAGCTGTCCATTTATAACTAGAAATTCAGTTGTTTCCCGACAGATATCAGTTCATTCCTGTTAAATATATTCGGTAATATATGGTTAATGGTAATGAAACGCTAATATTTAGAACATGGGTTATCAAACTGATGGCTAATGACGTTAAATGATAAAAAAGAAAGTTCCAAATGGTACAAATGATGCACTATAAAAAACAAATACAATTAAAGTATTAAATTAACAACCTTCAATTATGGTACTTGCCATCAGAAAATCCAGTGAACACCATGAATCCAAAATGATCCAGGTGTTTGAACTAGGCCTGTTAAACAGCCAAATTAAAAAAACACGTTACCAAATAAACGACTAGAATGACCGCTCTGTACAGTCAGATTAAACGACACTGATCAAATCCTATGACAATCAAGTTTATTCGTAAGAAGTAATAAATCATATAAAACAAACTAGATGTAGAAGAAAGCAAAGCGTTAGAGAAAACATAGATGGCTTAAAAGAATGAGAAATATTGTAATTACAAGCAGGAATAAAAAGAGGGAAATCACAAATGAAGTTGAAGGCAGATACAACACTATACACAAATTTCTGTCAATTTATAAACATATAAAACATATTCAACTATTTCCTATTATTGACATTTTATCAAATAATATTATTTACCACAAATTTTGTCATTAAGCTATGTTGATTTTATGATGGAGCCAAGTGACTGGAATCATACTAATGACTAGTTTTTTACTTAAGTTTCAAAACCTACTACTCATTTAATGGAGGTATCTGTAGTGGCAACATTGACATAAATTATTCAGCTTAGATAGACTGTGGTTAGCAGCAGAATCTAGAACTTGCATTCCATCTTATTTGTGATTTATCACCTGGATGTATCTGCGTCTGTGGTGATGTTCATATCAATAGTCAGAACCAATAACTTTCAGTTCAAACTCTAAACGCAAGTTGCTGAATCTAGATAGTTGCTAGTTTGTTCAACGGGTGTGGTGTTTATGTCATTGTCAAGAACAGTTTGAGCTATGTCGTTGTTGATATTTGAAAGTGGATTTCGGTCATATTTTGTTGATTTCTTTGAGTTTCATGTAGATTGTACAAATACTCGTTTTACTACAAGTCATTTAGAATAAATTCATTACATTCAAGGGTGAAATTCAGAATGTACGTAAACACCGACACTAGCGTGTAGTTTTATTCAACTGACGATTCTCAATGAAGACGAAAAAAAGCCTCGTGAGTCCCACTTTTAGCCACAACCTATTTATTCTAAATAGTTTGTATGATAATAGCTTCATTGAAACAGTTAACAGGAAATACACATATGTAAACAAAGATTGCTCAAAATTCAGTCCATAATGTTATTAATTTGTTATCTCATCCTCTTTCGAATAATGATCGAAATATTAAAGCTTTCAAATTCATATTAAGAACAAGTCAACAGATGAATGGAATGAAATAGTAATTTAATGCAAGACATATCTCTACTTTCTATGTTAAAAATAAGTCAGCTCAATATTCAACATATTTAACCTTAAGTAGGCTCATTAATTATTTTGTAATTAATCAAAAAGCAACTATATTTTCACAATATCCTTCCCATTTATATAGAAAAAAAAAACGATATTGCAAGGAACATGCAGAAGACATACCATAAAGTTTCATTAAATGTTCACTTACTTATCGACTAGAAACTGTTTTAAATACCGGTTTCCTTTAAGTTAATGATGCAGTAGTGTTTAGGAATCGACGAAAAAGTTCTAATTCATTTATCGTTATTGATTGTATTATTTCAAATTTAGCGTTATTACTAAGTTGATTATGTAAAATAAGCTCTGAACTTATTTATTTGTGGGAAATTTTATTCAGTTGTGAATAATATAGTTTAGAGCGATTATGAAGATTGATGAATTTATAGTATTACATCACGAACTGATTTAGTTAGCCAACCATTGGAATTTAGAAAATAATGGACAGTTATCTCATCTCAATAGGCAACTTTTTAGATTGCAACTGTGAAAACTTACAAAATTGTAACTTTTTATCTACATTTTATCCATTCTAAACTGACAGTGGAAAAACTGATGAATAATTGGTTCATCTACACAATAAACTATCCAATAAGATTAATCAAACTATGTAGCAGTATGAAACAAAGTTTAAAGTAGAGAAATGTTTGTTTTGTTATCCACGAAGTTCAAGTTTTGATAGCTAATTTATTTCCTTCCGATTATATTCGTATACACCAACCTAGTCTAAATTCTGGACATCCACTTTTGTTATTGTCATATCTGAGTAAGGACTACATCAAGTGGAGATAGCCAGTACGAATTCACCGAAAGAGACGAATGACATGCTGCTATTTGTTATAATTAAGATAAAAAGAGCGGATCAGTTCTACTTTTAAATACATAGGGTATTTAATGGTTTTTCATAAATGTGATGTAGTTCATACTATCAGATCTAGACGTCAGTCTTTAGTTAACAGAAATCTGTGTTGTAGATACAGTTTTTCTTGAATGTATACATAAATCAAAATGATACTGACTGTTCTAGTGACGAGTTCCAGTGATCAAACGCTTGAGAGAAAAGTAAGCAAGAAGCATAATTATATTCAAATTTGATTTGCAAATACTATTTCTGCAAACACGATGAACAATACGGTAGGGATCGACTTGATCAGTTAACTAGTTCATTTGAATAAGATCAATTAACTGTAAACTCCATTAGTAAGTTTCAGAAACTACAAAGAGATAACTCAACTAGTGTCTTGCAAATTTTCAGCGAGACTCCAGTTGATGTAATTTCTTGGTGAAATGTATCTTAAAATAATTTTGTTTTGTCCTTAAATCAATACGTCAACTTCATTTTCTGTTGCTAGTGTGTTAAAATCTATGGTAATTTATTGTAGTTGGGTTATCAGTTGAGTCCATAATGACCTTTAATTACGAACGATGGAAATAATTCTAAGACCAATGGAATCCATTCTAAATTAGCTAAAACTCTGATTCACACAAGATACAGCTCTTCAGCAATGATTCCCAACGGTGGAACCCAAGAAGAAGGCAGGAGTTGAAAACAAAACTTCATATGTAATGTAGACAAACATAAATCACGACAACTGTGAATATATAGTATTCAAGCACTAACTCGATGCAGAAGAACTGGCAAATTAAAAGCGGTTACAACCAATAGGAAAATAGCAAAGGTCATGAAAATATATGAATTGAAAAAATGGTCTAGTGGTTTCCATCATAAGAAAGAACTAACACTTAGTTATGAAACTTGATAATTCAGATTATTTTTAGCATAATGAATTAAAACAATGAATGATGCATAAGAAACGTTTTCCCTAAACGAATAGCGCAAATGATAGGAGTGCTATTTTAAACTAACGCCGAATAGAAATAATATTGTTACTGTCATACTACTCGTGTTGAAATAAGTAGCTCCTTCGTCACAACCACATTTAGGGTGAAATCAGTGAAATTTTCCAATAAATGCAAGCCATCGATTGCTCCTATCACACAAACTCACATAAAAATTGGAATGACTAAATTAGATAAAATCTAATTACTGTGATAATATATTGTTCACAAGTAATCTAATTAAGGACGCTGCAAGATCACTTTAGGTATTCACGCTATATATTTGAAGACAACCATGCCAGGAAGTTTCTGAAAGTATGAAATATCGGTTTTTCTAAAAACTAATACATTGCTCGTAAGACCTTTCTTCTATACATTCAGTGTTTCCTGGATTCCCATGGGCTGGGAGGATTCTTTGTGAGCTAATAATATTACAAATGACGTTGAGGAAAGTTCTTCTGAGAGAATAGAGACAAGTATGGGAAAGCATAAAATGATTGCTTATGTGAAATCCCCAAACTATAACATCCTATTATTGATTCTTTAGGTTACGGGTCACTTACAAGCTGTTTTTAATTGTTCAACTGATCAACGTTATATATTGTTATGCTTAATTATAACACTGTCTCGTACATTTTTGAGATCCCTTCCTCATCAATGATCACACACAACCTCACTAGGAACCTGACCCAAAAGCTTCAGATCTTAAGACCAGGCCATTTACTTTCAAATAACTATTCAAAACCCAATGTTACACATGATCACAACTACAATGACTTCATGATATGGAGTATGACAATTATCTAATGCTATCAATCACAATTAAGTAGTATGCGTCTATTTTAAAAAAGAATTTCAAACTATACGAAATCTCTTTAAAACTATCTAACTTAATGGTGAATGTTCGTTTACTAGTGACTAGCTTCTAATCTGATATTTCGAAGTTTCAATGTGACACTGGATATAAATTTACTGTATGAATATCGTCGTGTTCACTACAAGAAATCTGAACATAAAGGGCAAACTCTGTTAATAACTTTTCAAATTAGGATAAAGCATCTACCAAAACTGAGTTCCCTGTGATTTCTAAGAGTTTTCAGTAATGAACATAGATTTAAGTGGGATATAATCTTCAACTATTGTGGATAATGCATTTTTGACAATCAATACAAGTATTTTGATTATTAAAGTTACTTTTCATCAAAAAGTGACTGCTTTGTCTGAAATTATGAGTGCATATTGTTGAACGGTCACAAATTCATATGGAAAAATTGTTCTATTTCTTCCTGATAGTTCCTCTTAGTTTATGTTATTGAACAATTATCATAACGATATTCTATATTAGCATAATAAGATGTATAGCTCAAAGTAGATTGTCATATAATACCACAGTAGAACACTGTGATCACTTGTAATTCACAAAAGCATTTCTTTCTGATCAACATAATTGATCACCTGAAGTAAGTGAGTATATTTCTTGATTTTATGAAGTCCCTTAAACAACTCACTAATCTCAATTTGTCTATTGGTTCACATTGTTTATAACACAATTCAAACTTCAATATTCAGGAATAATCCACACTTATTGTTCCCATCACTTCCTTCACAGCTTCAATTAGGTTACATGAAAATGTATCATTTTCAAATTTCTTTTTACAACTTGTTACCAATATACCATAATACATGTGCAATACACATTTTTAAAAAATTAAAAAATACCCCACCATTTGTTATTTAGTGTACTAACAAATCCAATCACATTTTACAATAAAAAAAATTATGAACTAGGTGGTGTCAACTATTGATTTATTACATATCTCAAACTCTAAGAGTTTCCACATCTCCACATGTTCAACAACAATGAAATGCACCAACAACAAAAAATAATTCAGAAAAAAAAACAACACCATGTTTATATATTACTAATGATGATACTTATAAGAAAAGACAAAACACTTTTTTTTGTTTTATGAAAATCAGTTTGTTGATGATGGGTATACACCTATGAATTAATCAATTACAATATTCGATCAATAAACATATTAGACTGAATGTTCAATTCATATGTATAGAACTTTATAACTGGATTACATAAATGAGAAAACTTGAGGTAAACAATATCTTAGACTTATTGAACACACTGAATAAGAGATTTTTTAAAAAAATTTTTTAAAAATTAACATTTTAAATATTGTACTCGTGTCTGTAATATATTTGATAAGATAATTTGTTTAGTTTTTTCAGTTTATTTTTTGTTTGTCTATAGAAAAAAGTTAATGCAAATGAACAATTTAGATATCTGATTAAAATGATTTTTGTTGCTATGACAACAAAGTGCTATAGTGAGAAAAAAAGATATAAGCAAGTATTAGTCTAAAATATGATGACATGATTAAAACCAAAAAAAACTACTCATCATATCTGGAATACAAGGAACAAAATGAACATGATTAAATTATATAAGTATGTATAGGTTGTTGTTAAGATGTTAAAAATAATTTACTATAAGGTCAATGAAACACAAGAGAAAATGGAAAGGTTTAAAATCGTATCGTCAGTGTCTGAAGAAAATAAATAAGATACAGTTAATATAGATGAGAAAGAAAAGGATAGCTTCAAAACTAATCTCTTCACTTTACTATGAACCTTGCTGACCTGGTGAATAGATCAGAGAATAATAAACTTACTATTCATTCAGAATCGACAGAAGTTTGAAATGTAAACCATTGACTTCCTGATTCATTTCTCTAAGGGTATCTGCGGCGTTTGCTATTGATGTCGACAGATATAAGTAGTATGTATCATCAATAGAAAGTAAAATGCTTGGTGGCAGAAGGTTAAAAAGATCGAAGAAAAAAGAACAGCAAGTGATTGGTTTTGAAATGAAAAAAAAACAATAAAGTCTGAAATGATTGATTGACATTTTGTAAATGAAGTATTTACTGTGTAGTTCGCAAATTTCATTAAAATATTTTATAATTTTGTATTCAAATATATTTGATCGTCCCCACTTGTGTTCTCTTTCATCACAGTATCTATCATTCGGATAGTGAGACAAATAAGTTCAAAGTTTGACTCAGTATAAGAGTTCCTAAAATAGGATTAAAACATTTACACATTATTCCAAAGTCTTCAGTTGTTCGATAGTTCTTTACTTCAAATCCAAAATTCCCAGCAAAATCCATTATCTTAATAGTATTCAATAGCACACATAATGATATTTAGTCTGTGGATAATCATAAGTAACCTCAAGTTTGTAGCTTCCTAGAATCATCTAATCTGAGGTGGATTTCATGTTACCATAACCCACCCAAAATCTTCGTTTATCTTATTTATCCATTACCTTTTGAGAAAAAAAAAAGATTTTTTGAAATTTTCGTTAATTAATGCAAATCAATCATATTTATTAGTCTGAGCATTTTTGTGTAATTTCTTTGTTTCTCCCTCCCTCTGTCCCTCTGGTCAACTAGAAATAGTATGAGTCATTTATGTTTGTTAAGAAAAAAAATAATTAAATTAACTAATGACAACCAGTGTCAACAAACAAACAAAACAATAATGATTATGTTGACTAAATGTTATCAGGTTTTTTTTCTTCTTTCTAAAGTTTATCACATTTTGGACAATTGTGTAGATCGTAAGATAATTTTTACATAGTATGACCTGTCTTGAGTATAATAAGTGGTAAATTGCTACAATAGTTAGCGTTAAGGTCAGTAATTTCTCATTAAAAAAGATGGCTAATACTTTAAACTGACAACAACTGGAAGGGAACCATGGTATGCA